GGGGGGGGGGGTTTACAATCTTTTTGTCTACTAAAAGGCTAGGGGTGGGCCCCAAAAACTGAGCCATGCATTTAGGGTGGGCCACATGCAAACTAGAATTTATTTTGGCACCAACTATGTGAGAACAACTATACTACACTTGGTCGAAGTAAAATAACCCGAAAGAGGTCTGTTTCTGGTTCTTCTTTTTTATAAGCAGTTTTAGAACAAAAAAAAGTTTCTTGTAGCTATTAGAGAACAGTTACAAAAGCGTATCACTGACAAAGCCTGTCACCAGTGACCCAGGAATTAATTTAAAAACGAATCCATCGCTAATGACCAGTTCAAAAGTAAGTTAGAAATAACAATGTTTTGCAAATTATACCCTGTTGACTTTGTGTTGAAACAGGAAGGGTGGCGCAGGATAAAATGTGTTTCTCTTTGCTCGACAAAGGTAAAACAGTGTACTATGACACAAATGAAAAACACACTGTCTCGCACTGTGGTATTATACATTGCAAGTAATACTTTTTATTACAGATATATGAAAAACTTCATTCTACATTTGTATAGAAGGATCTGTTATTTCGGATCGGCAGATGGGGAACTAACCTGCCAAGAGACGTTCATTAAAACCTTTTAACTATATTCGTTAGTGAGATAAATGGTGATTTTATGGCCTACTGTACGTACGTATTTACTGTGGTCAACGGCTTGTCACATCTAGCACATTTCCATCAATTCTGTGGTAGACGTGACAACCATGTTGAGACAGGACAGATGTCAGAATATACCGCTTATATGAAAAGTTGTTTTTACATATGGACCGAGCCCCCTATGCTAAAATATCATTTCCCGGGGAAACAAAATACAATCGCTTTAAATTCCATTTCTTTTATAAGATAAAATATAATGTCATTTGAGTGTTGTATGTCGAATAATCATGTGATATATGATATGTGTTGAAGACGTATGTATGGAAGAGTACTGACCAGTTGAAATAACTGGGGGATATTGGCGAGGTATAATAAATTGTTACCATTCTTGCATAATAACTGGTTATTAACTGGTACATGGAAGTAATGGCAATTGCAATTGCAACCTCTCATCACATAATC